CATATTAATGATTCTGAGAAAATTTTAAACTTAACAACCATAATCTTTGTAGGCGACACAAGCTTGTTTTTATCTCATGAAAATATAAATATATATTTTTTTATAAAATGTTTCTGATTGCTTCAAACAAATAATATGAAAAACGAGCTTAAAAAAATGTTTGATTGGTTCAAAATTAATAAGTTATCTTGACATTGATAAAAATAACTGGAATAAGTAGATGGAAAAGTATCCAAGTTCAAAAAAACAAAGACGCCTTAACATTCTATTAACAATATAATCATTAATCATTAATCGTGCATCGGTGGCGCATTGGTTAGAGCGCCTCCTTTATAAGCAGGAGATCCAGGTTCGAAACGAGCTCTTGGCATATTTTTGCGGCACGGTATGGAAGGAGGCGTGAACTTCCTGGTTAAATGCACTTCCGCGGTGCTCTCTGACAAGACCGTTAGGTCTTTTTAGAGCACCTTAAAAAAAAATTAAAAAAGAAAAAGTCGTAAAGTTGTTTGCCGATATCGATGAAAATCTTGGAGAAATCACATTGATTATATTTTATCTAAGTCTTTTGATATTATGAATAAAGCTAGAAACATAAAACAAACAACAGTTTACACAATTATACTATTCCTTTACTTTCATTTCCAAATCAATAATACAAATACTGTATGGGGTACACACTGAAAAAAAAGGTAATAATTTCTACCTTAGGGTAGGATATGTGACCCTTAGTAAGGTGTATTGTATACCCTTAGTAAGGTGTATTTTTCTACCTTTAAAGGTAAAAAATTATAATAAAAACAAATAATTTCTATAGAATTTTCTATCTTAATGGTATAATTTTCTACATTTTAAGGGAGAAAATTATACCTTACTAAGGGTATATCACATATCCTACTTTAAGTCGATATTTCTACTATTTTTTTTAGAGTGTAGCACTCGTAAAACAACACTTAAATCCATTTTTCATCATCAGAAACACGCAGCTCTTGCAATAAATTTTAAAAAATGTTTTACGTACTCTAAGGTATTGCTTAAAGAAATGAAAGCTCTGAATATTTACCAACTAAACGGTTTAGTTGGTAAATATTGAGAGCTTCCATATCTTTCATACGTTTGAACTAAACATAAATAACATTTTACGCTTTATGTTTAGATATAAAGTATATTAATCTCCTTGTGTATTTCAATATCTTTGTACATTAAAACCTGGTAATAAATATGATTTTCGAACTGATAACTATCTTAATGCGACATTTTGCCAAAATAAGTAGGATTAAATTTTTATTTCTTATCTTATTTGGCACGGAATAAAAACTTTATCTAATACCGGTTTTTCTATTAATTGTAGAAATATATATATATATATATATATATATATATATATATATATATATATATATATATATATATATATATATATATATATATATATATATATATATATATATACACACATATATATACATATATTTAATTTTAATGATTGTATTTTTTTAATTGTACTTTAAACTTGCAATTGTACTTTAGTGAAATGTATGTCCCTATTTTTTATGTTTATGTGAATATATTAATTATTGCTGAAAACTATAAATTGCACAAAGGTTCCTGATAAGACCTATATGACCTTCTAGAAGACCTTCCATTAATAGTTATAATATGTTATTATACATTAAAAAAAAGTAGTAGTTCCGCTTCAAACAGAATTGAAAAGTTGTATTTATTTCTTAAAGAAAACAGTTGATGTGGTGTCAATGTGCAATGATACTGTCTAAGAAGCCTTTGGTTTCAATATTTTTTTAATTTTAAAATCAAACAGAACAATTTAATTGTTTGTTTTTTAACAGGTGTGAGAAATATTTTAGGAACACATAAAGTATAAACGCATATTGTTGTGACGCAATTACAAAAGAACAAAATTTAACTTTCAGTTTCGATATTTCGCGCTTTTATTCACCGTGACAAATATATTTTGGTACAAAAAAAATAACGATTATCTTTTTTTAAAAACAACAATTCAAAAAACTTTATTTAGAATTTAAAAGTTGACATAATACTTAATAAATTATAGTAAATGTTTTGGAATAACATCCCCTTTGATCCTGGAATAACATCCCCTTTCACCCTAATGACCAGCATCAATCTTCTTTCAAAATCATTGCACGTGGCACGCACAGTTTCCAACGGCATTTTGTCCCAAACTTTGCTGATAACTTTTTTAAATTACTCTAAATTTGAAAAATTATCATCGTTAAGATTAGCTAAGATGTAAGACCATACAAAATAATCAAGTGGTGAGCTTGGAGGCCTAAAATAATTTTTTAATGAACAATAAATTGATAAAATAACGGGAGATTGTAACACACGGTGTATGACCTTTATTTTGAAATAAAAACTTGCAGAATTTTTTACATTTCTGATATCTAAATTTCAAAAACGAAGTGAGAGAAATCCATCACTTTTCCTGTCTTTGAAAAGTTTGTACAATCCGTAAGCATTCCCTTCTACCTCCTCTTTTGTCTTTCAGTTTGATGAAATCTCTAAAAAAAAGAGATCATTAAGAATATTAACAGATACTTTAAATTGCTTGTTTTAAATTTGGATTCGAAAAAAAAAAAGATGTGTAGTTATCTTTTCCATTAAGTCAAATCTTATTTACATAAAAGAATAGAGTTCAATCATAGTTCTCTAGTAGACATATTATAAAACACATTCTATTAGTTTGAAAAGGGAGTCAATATAAAAAAAAAACACTAATCTGTTTCTAATACATGCTATTATGCTCTACGGTATAAAAAAATAAATCAAAAATTTAAAAGAAGTTTTAATAAAATATTAATTTCTACTTCTATTGAATCTATTAATCTATTGCAAATATTAAGAACTGCCTTGTTTAAAAAAGATCAACACCAAAATGATGCCAAATTTAAAGAATGAAATATCGCATCTGTATAACAGCTAAAAACAAAAGTGTCGCAAATTAATATAGTTACCATAGTTACCATATTATATCTTATAGGTATGTATCAATATATACAGATTTATCTATCCAAGAAACATCACTGATGATGCAATTCTGAAATTGACATCTGGGAGCTTCATTTCACACATTAACTTTAGGTTTAGGTTTGTGCGAATAGTATTTACGTATAAAGCAAATTTGTCTAAAAAGGTATCATTGAAACTACATTAAAAAAAATTTAAAGTGATTAAAGTATTATAATACCTATATCTTATTCTCATTTCGGCGTAATGTAGCCCATTAAAGTAGCATAATGGTAGCCCATTGCCACGTTTCAAAGCATTTTTAATTGAAATGTCTGGTTTTTACTTTACGCCTGAAAATCTCCATTAAAAAAACGCTTCCATTAAAAAAATTAAAGCAGATTTACGTCAATGAAAAATAGTATTACAATGACAAAAGGAATAAAAACAGATTTTTTCTAAAATGGGAGTCAATGGATTTTATTTAATTAGATTATTATTTAATTAAAAGAATATTTGGTGATCAGTTTTAATAAGATCTGAAGAAGTTTTTTTTTCATTATGTTAAATAAATGTTTTTACTTAGCACAGACGCTGTCATGTTTTTACTTAGCACATAAAAATTCTATATTTATATAGAATATTTTAATATTGCGGGTCAAAGCATTACTTTAGCCTTTTGCGAGCTTTTAAGGGTGAAATTTTCAAGGATGAAATTTGCGTAACGTATTTACGTAGTTTATTTCAAGGATGAAATTTGCGTAACGTATTGCGTAACGTATTTACGTATTTTATTTAAACTGTTTTTATACTTTTAGGAAAAAGTTTGATTAATAAAAATTTCCTTCCATCAAATTTTAATTCATATTTAAGTTGTTCTTAATGAAAATTTCAAATTCAAAATTTTCTTCTCTTAGTGCGTAATATATTTTCGTATATTATATATTTTTCGTATATTTTCGTATATTATATATTTTTTCGTATACATCGTAATATCAGCATATAAATAATCGATGTTATAAAAACGATAAAATCTTCAACTTGCGTATAATATGGTTATATCTACATTATTTTAGTTTAAAAGAATTGAAAAATACGTTTCTTTAAACATCTTTTTTTTCCTAAATCTTTTCGAATTCTTTTGTTGTATTCACACAGGAACCAACAGATTTTTTTCCTAAGATGTAATCTTGAAGCGCGTCATTTGAAATTCCATGAATATTTTTATTTTTTTAATTATCTTCTTTGAAATAAATATTTTATCGTTTCACTTTTAAAAAGCAACCTTAAGGGAATTGCTGTTATTTAGTAAAATGAGTTTAAAATTGCCTTTAAAAAACTTAAGAGAATGTTTTGAGTAACAAAGACCAAAACAGTTTAATGACAGATTTTTTTAATAGAACACAATAATAAACTATCGTTTCTTCAAATATGTTTTATTTCTGTAGATATATACTTCAAAAACTTTGATTTTATAACATTAGAAAGTAATAAATAAAGAAGGTACATTTTATATTTATTACAAGATGGTTCATTATATTTACTATAAAATATTTTGCTATATTTATTACTTTAAAGCGAGGTTTTAAATTTAATCGTCTGTTTTAAATTTGCAAAACTATTAATATAATAAACCATAATAAAAGAAATCTAGAGATATTTTACCACAGTGACATATGTTTTTAACGCATTAAATTTTTTTGAAAACAATACAATACACTCTTTAATAAAATAAACTACACTATAAAAAGCCTAGAGGGTGATCTTTATTTTTGACGAATATATTTGTATAATATATTTTATATGCGTCTTATATAACTTCATTTTAAATGTTTAGCCAATTTATTAAAAATAAAAATCAGTACGGGGATTGGTTATTTAATTGTTTGATATTGTTTTTAAAAGAAACTTGGGGGATCACAGGGTCTAGTTGCTTAGTTAACTTTAAGTAATAAAAAATAAATAGTTTATATGAATTGCACTTGTAACCGAATTTTTTTTTTCAATTTAATTTTTAGACGTGGTAGCCAGATGGGTAAAACATCTAGTAAATTGCCTCCGAAAGAAATCACTGATCTCCTTAATCTCACACATTTTACAGAACAAGAACTTAAAGATTGGCACATCGGTTTTAAACGGGACTGTCCAGAAGGAAGGTTGTCATTGCAGCAGTTTACGGACATATACAGTAAATTTTACGGAACAACAGAGGCTAAGAAATTTGCGGAGCATTTATTTAGAACATTTGATACTAACCACGATGGCACAATAGGTATGGTCTGTTTCTATACCGTTTTGTTGTATTTATTTTTTATTTAAAACTTCTATGTATTATATTTAAAAATAATATCGTGCAGATTTTCGTGAGTTTATGTGCTCTTTATCGATTACTACAAGAGGTACAATGGAAGAAAAGTTACGCTGGGCGTTTATGGTATACGATGTTGATGGCAATGGTTCAATAACTTCAAATGAAGTTTTAGCGATTGTTAAGTCTATTAAAAAAATGATTGGAAATATTAACGATAAAAATGCTAGCGACGAGAGAATTTTATCTTTATTTTCAAAATTCGATAAAAATCACGACAACAAACTATCTTTACAAGAGTTTGTCGAAGGAGCACAAAACGATCTGACATTTGTAAGAATTTTACAATCAAACGATTAATGCTTTTTATTACTATCAAAAAAGACAAAAAGAAAATTTGATTTTTTAAGGTTTTAAAAAATGGTTTTTAAAAAATGGTTAAATCCGTCATAAAATGTATATATGGCTCATGTATTGGATTTTATCAAAGTTATTGTCGGAATTTAATTGGCACAAATGAGAAAAATATTACTAGATCCATTGATGTTACCGCTGTTCTCTGATGATACCGCTGTTTTGAAAGATCTTATGTTTAAGATAAACTCAATAAAATTTGAAGTTTGCGCTTCATTGTTTCTTATTTATTATTCATGATTTACTAAATGTTTTTGCTAAGTTCTGTTTCCTTTTAACCTCAGGCACTCCCAGCGATGACCTTTAAAGATAAATTTCTAGAAAAAAAATGGTTATAAAAGCGAGGGGCATGGGAACAGTGGAAACTATGGTAACAATACAGCGAGAAGATTACTCGTTAAGGGTAAATGCATTTTTGATTAAGAGTTTGCTCTTTGACTCAAAAAAAGTTTTATTATAAAAAGACTTATTAAGACGACTATATTAGTTGCAAGTTAGTTATTTCCATTGGGCACAGTGCGTTTTTCAAATTTGTTTTGGGCGTTTTTATTATGCTTAAACCTAACAAAAACATCCAAAGCACGTTTAATAGTTTAGTTCTTATTTTAAGTTTTTTTTTTTTTTAATTTTACTAAACTTACAGCTTACTAAAGTTGATTTTTTTAAATAAAAAATTTAAGTGAAAAAAAAATGAACAAACAAAGTTATTCACAGCTGCAAAAAACCATATTCAAGTCAATTCTTTATTAACCTAATAGAGCTATATAGTTACCAGTTATTCAGTTATACGCTTAGTTTTTTCATTTGATGTCTTTTAAATATTGTGTTTTTTTATGTTGGAAAAAGCTGCCTGTTTTTTAAATATTCAGTTTTTTCTTTATTTTTGCAGCTATTTTAATTTTTTTAAAGAAAACTGCTTTTAATTCTTTACTCTTAAATTCTTATATTTTTGTTAACACGAAAAAATTCTCATTTAAAGTTTTGGGAACCAACTTCCTATTCACTGGTGGCTTTCCATTATGTTTCTTTAAGTAGAAGGCAGAATGTTGTTAAACTTTGCAGTATTTTCTATTTTCCTACGAACTTTTGAAAGTAAAAATAAATTGGTAACGAATTTATATTTCCATTTTTTAACATATTAAAAAAAACCAAACAGTTTTTATTGTCTCCTGCTGCCTTTTTTATGCTTTTTTTAATATACTTTTATCTAGTTCCAGCTTTTTTTAGTCTTTAATTGTTTTGTTACCACTCAAATTAAACACCCTAACTATTTCTTTATAATAGAAACTTTTTCTGCTTTAATAAAAGAAATTGCTTCTCTATTTCATATTATTTTTTATTCAACATAGAGTCATTTAACGCGATTTATAAATAAACAGTTGAAATGAAAGAAGAATAATACGTATAATCAGAGGCAATTCTACGAACACCCATCCCACCCACCCCACCACCAAAACCACCCCACCCCTTGGAACCGCCTATATATACATATGTAAAAGTATAATGTAAAACGTAAAAGTAAGTTTAAGATATTACTCATTAATATCTTTTATTGTCTGCATGTTTTTTTTTTGTATATTAAATATATTCTTTTTATATTATATTTTTAAAAGTGTATATGCACATCTTTCTTAACTAATCTGTTTTACAATTTGAAAGAACTATAGTAAGATGTTAACCAATAGAAAAACTAATTAATGTAAACTAAATGAATTTATGATATAAAATGTTATACTAAAAAAGTTTAACTTAGAGGTAAAATTTTGATTATGACATACAAATAAATAAAATTCTTACACCCTTCAGTAAAACCACTCCAAACTGCAAAAGTATCTGACGCAAATAAAATTCTTATACTCTTTAGGCGAGTAATTGTGAGTTGTTTGAGCAAATTCTTCTCAATAATACCGTAATCATGTTTTTAGTCCAAGTATGTATGCTTTTCTTCTAGAAACTTGATTTCAATTATTTTAAACAAATCTTGCTTAAGGGAGAACAAGTATAAAAGTTTATTTTCAGTGGTTTCCACAAGACCAGATAATGAGATTTTTTTCCCACACATTTAAAGCCAAAGGGTCTTTCTCTGTGTAGTCGAATAGTATTTCCATTCTTTAATGTAAACGTTTTGGAAACAATGAGAGCACTTTTTTTAAGGTAAAATGTAAATGATGTAAATGTTTGTAATGTAAGGTATTATTGTGATAACAGGTTATAACCTTAAACCTGTTATTTCTGTTATTTGATAATAGAGATAACAGGTTTTGAAGACAAAGATATTTGTAACAGATAATAATGAACATAGGTATTTTCTGTAGATGTTTTTATTTCAGGAATAATATGAGCCTCTTCTGTAAACTGAGCAACGTGCTGTTTAACATATTCTGTAATTTGGTCATCAATAAGATCTTTTTTTATCCTTTGTCTCTTTTTTTTGAAACTACGAGAGAATATTAAAAGTCATTAAAAGTCTAAATTTGAAACAAAATGATCCTAGAAATAAATATCAAGTGACTCAAATTACTTTCTTTTAATATTGTAAAATATAAAGTGAAAAAAATGGAAGACGTACCTTTTGTATTATATTATTTTTTATTCATTTATTTGGTAACAGAAAAATTGTTGTTTTACTGCCACTTTTAAACTTTTGATTAATTTAAAATCGTTTATTCATCTGCAACACTTTTTCATCAATTTAGCACAAAAAAATTATGCGTTTCTTCAAAAAACTATACACTTTGTAAAGTATTGGTTAATATGCGATTTTAGTGTCAAACCGCCTAATACCCGCTAGTGTGACGGTTACTGGGTGATTACGCTGAGTGGATTTTTTTGAAAAATAAAATTATTTTAACAAACTATTTAACTCCATACCCGTAAAAAACTATATTGGTACACCATTGCCAAACTTTTGAAGTTGTTTTCTAGATATACCAATATTTATATTATTATTAATATCATTATTTCAATTTCTTGGTATTTACTTTTTTAAATCAAATAATTATAAGTATTAAAACTTTTTTCTTAATTATAATTATATAGTTAGTCGAAGAAAAAAACACATAATTAGTGGAAGTGTTCATCAAAACCAAATAAATTAGTTAGATAAAGAACAAAAAAAGTATTGCAAATAAGTAAACTTTGTCTGCTATTGCATTTTCTTTTCCTGATAACTATTGGTAAAAAAGAATTTAGAACATGACCTTTTTATGCTATGTTTTTTTTTAAAAAAAAAATAATTTTTTAGTGTTTAGAAATAATGCTTATTTTATTTACGATTGTTTTATTTATTTTCAATTTAAGAACTAATGTTTTAGTTATTAAAATAACTGAAACACTAGGTCCAAAACTCATTTTATACATCATAAGAATATTTTTATTCTTATTTTATAGACTTTTGTAATTACTTAACTAAATGTTTATTTACTTCATTGTAAATTAAGTACTGCGAAGATCTAGGGTTTGGATTAGGTTACAAATACTAACATACGGTTTTCACCAAGGGATAATACTTGTAGCTCTTGTAAATTTGGAGCACTTTATTAAATTAATACTTCTGTTTAATTTATCTTGGTATTGTCTTGAAAAAAATATGGTTAAAATAAGAGGTGGGGGATGTAGATTATCACAATGATTTCACCAGATGTCGGTTGGAAAGATTGCTTCTGTAACAGAGGCTACAATATATTATAATACAACTCATCTTCATGATGACATAACTCCTTCAACATCTGGTAGTAGTACTCTTGATATTTGTCAAATAAAACAGCTACTAACAATTGATATTTCTTCAAGTCGTGTCAATGGTTCCAATCATTACATTGATTAATCAGTCACTGTTAAGAAACGGGGAAAATTCCTGAAATGGAATGAAAAAAATAAGATGAGTGCAAATAAGCATGTCAGATCAGAGCCATCATTTTCAGTGCGTAATGCAGCAATATTGTACAATGTGCCACGTACAACACTGAGAGACAGAGTTTCTGGAAAAATTATTATTGGGGCAAAGCCAGGAAGAAAACCTACCCTACCTTTTGCTCTTGAAGAAAAAATTATCTATTATGCCAGTCACAGTTCCTGAATTATGCTGGGAAACTTGCCGCAAAACATAAATTTAACTTCAAGAAAGGACTTCCAAGCAAAAAGTTACTCTGCGACAACCAAAGGGTACAGCTTCGGTTCGACATTAGTATATGGATAAAGATACTTCAGTGCGTTGAATGACGTCATGGTAAAAAATGGTTTTCACGTTAAACCAGAATCCATACGGAATATGGATAAAACTGGTCTACAACTTGACGTAAAACCAAGAAAAGTGGTTGCACGAAAAGGCACAAAAACCTTTATAGTCGAACGAGTGGAAATCGAGAGTCAATCACTGTTATTGCATGTGTGAATGCACAGGGGAAGTTCATTCTACCCCAGGTGATAGTGAAGGGAAAGACATCGGTCTTTATGGGGTTTTAACACTGAGTTCGCGCCTCCGGGAATTGGAGTTGGTCCGATAGTGGTTGGACTAAACCGGGCCTAGCAAAACTATGGTTTACAAAGACATTTTTAGAAAACATTGATCCACAAAGTCCTCAGTTATTGATTCTGCTTGGGCACGATTCTCACAACTTTATTGATTTAAATGATATTGCTATCCATACTCAACAAAGTTGAAATATCACCAAGACAAAATCCAACAGGAATAAGAAAAATACGAAAGAAAACAACTGCGATTTGTTAATGCTGCTAAGCGACTCAAAGAAAAAGAATTAAAAAAGGTATTGGCTAAGAAAAAAAATTAGAAAATTGTGCCAGCAAGTCTTTTGCAACAAAAAAAAAAGAATTTCATTTCATTATCATCTGAATTGCAACTATTGGTTGATCCCGAGAACATTACTAATATGTACTAAATTTTGACAATATTTTTTTATATAACTAAAAATGCATACAATTTCGTCTTATCTATATAAACTCTTTTTATTTATTGGTCTTATTTGTGATAAGACCTAATGGTCTTATCACAAATAAGACCAATAACTCCACTAAGCACCGCCTCAAGGGCTTAACTATTTAATGAGTTGGCTCTATTTCGAGCTTTACCGAAAACGCATAAGTGTTTCAAGCAGGATTCAAACTCGCAACACTTATACAATGAGTACCATGCTCTAATCACTACGCCACGGCTGCTCAATATAAAAAATTAAACTCACGACTGGGGCAAAAAGAAGACAATATTTGTCATATCACAACGGCTCGTAAGCATTGATGTGTTGAAACTATACTTTATTTACACATTTTACAATTGCATATGAACTGAGTTCACCAAGTCAGCATTTATACTCACTATGACGGCTTAAAAATACAACATTTATTTCTATAGTATCTTTTTTCATTCGAAATTTTGCAACAAAAACAATATTGTATTAAAATATACTTTAAAAAAATTTTATTCAAATAATTTTACAAAATTTCTTTTTATTAAATACAACTGCTTCTTCAAACCGATAAAACCATTTAAAAACAATAATTGTGGACATAAGGCGAGCATATCTATAAAACAAAAAAATATATAATTAAGACTCTAAAATGATTAAAAAGTTTACAGCAAAATAACAACATAAAGTTTTCAATTTTTTTTAAAAACAACAACAATCAGTTTTGTTGTGCAACGATGTCACAAGAATGAAAATACAACAACAATCAGTTTTGTCGTGCAACGATCTTACAAGAATGAAAAAAAACAACAACAACCAGTTTTGTCGTGCAACGATCTCACAAGAATGAAAAAAACAACAACAATCAGTTTTGTCGTGCAACGATCTCACAAGAATGAAAAAAAGCTACATTATTATTCTAGACCTAAAAACTTTTGAACATAGAAAAATTAAAGACTCCATTATTCTATATATCTGCTGAAAACTGACTAAATTACATTTTTACAAAAGCTTCGCGACTTTTTATAAGATCTTCGCATAAACACGTTTACATTGATGACTATAAATTTGTAATCGTATTTTGATTACAAACATTATTTTCTAAAATTATTTGTGACAAAGTGGTACGCATAATAAGTGGAAAGTAAAATATATTTTAGTTATGCAAATAAAACAAAAAAACCAAATATAACAAATGTTCATAACTTTAAACGTATTATGTTATATGCAGAATAATTAATGTTTTAAATTTAACGAGTGTTTTGAATTTATAATTAAGATTTTTTTACATACCATCTCAAAATTAATAGGATCACTACAGTAGAGGTAGAAAGCAACTCCTTTTTTGTTGTTGGTAATTGTTACCTTACAACTCCCAAACACAGATCTTGAAAAACAAGGCCACACTGCAGAGAAAAAAGTTGAGTGCAGTAATACCAGGAACGTGGTGGGTTCTTGCTTACAAAACAACTACTACTATAATACCACTACCACAAAAATGATAACCAACTTTTTTCTGCATAACGACACTTAATACTGTTACAAGTTGAAATAAATTTTAAAAGCATAAATTAATTCTTACTTTACAAACCCAATGGATGTTCTGTATATACACCCATACTTTTAACAATTTCACCAGCAACATTCGATTTTAGCTTATCATTCTGCAAATGTTTTTCAGCCAGACACGAGTCAAGATTTCGCACCACACGATCATACGCCTTTTATGCAAAATAAATATAAAAACATTGACAAACAAAATATATTGCAATATTTCAAAAAAAAAAAAAAAAAGTCAAGACTTGCAGTTAAGATTAATTAAAAAAAAAAAATAAAAAAAAATAAAAAAATCAATTACCAAATAAAAAGTAAAGTTTTATGCGATAAGAAAAAAATCATTCACCTATAAACAAAGTGAAAAAAAATTACTTACTTCTGAACAAAATATTGAGGTTAACAGAGCTTCGTGATTAGCGTTTGGAAGTGAATTGTTCAATGATTTAGTTGTCCTTGGTAAAAATGCATTTTTTAAATTTTATTATTTATTTGGTATTAAAAATAAAACTAACTTATTGATGGATAAAAAAACTCGATATGAACTAGCAAGTTAAAAAATTACCTTGATAAAACAGATATCATGCCAAATATATCAATAGCAGCATCAGCCAACCGATAGCAAACCATTTGCTGATCTGGAAAATAAATCATCATGTCATATTTAATCAAGCACAGCTATTAATAAATAAAAAATTCCAAAAAAAAAAAAAAAAAAAAGCATGACCACAATAAAAAAACAAACAAAGTAAGCCTAAAATTAAATGAATGCTTACCTACAACATCTTTTTTATACTTAATAAGCAGTTTTTCTGAAGTGATACCAAACGCTTCAATAGCTTTTGAAGCCTAAAAATATTTTGGAAATTATTAAACTTTAAATAAAACATCTATGATTTCACACAAGTGAACTTTTAATGAGTTCCCATAATTCACTTTCTTATTTAAATATGACGTTATAAAAGAATTTAGGCAATTTTTTACACACATATAGTCATTCTGACATTTGGTTACTTTGCAGATCTAGATTGAGTGTTTTTATTGTGATACCACCAAAAGAAAGACTATCATCTAAGGTCTATGAGCACCTCCTACCGTAACACACAATCAATTATGAGTTTTATATTAGAGTACTCCTTCTTCAAGGTAACTGACGTTCACCATAGTTACATATTTTTACCTGGTTCAAATTAAACAAATATCAAAAAAAGATTGGTTATCAGAGTTCTCACCAATTCTGCTTGATTTTTAAGGTCTCTATGAACACTTGATGAAATATCAGGTCCACTATGTATTCCAACAGCTCTGTTAAAATGAAAAGTACAACAACATTGATTGAAAATGAATAACAAAATTTTAGAATAAAAATTTTGATCTATTTAGATCAAAAATTACGTACAACTAAAAGTAAAAAAAATTCTCACCGCTTTGAGCGAACCACTCCTTGCTGAAGTACGGTTCCCATGTTAGCAAATGGGTTTCGAAGTTTATTTTGAAAATCTTTTAGATATTTACCAGCTCCCTGAAAATAAAAAAAAATTTGAATTTTGAAAACTTGACCACAAAAACCATGAACTTTTGTTAAAGAATATAACCACCTGTAATCCAGTCAAAGTTACAAAAAGACGCAATATATCATTGGTCCCTTCAAAGATGCGGAAAATGCGTAGATCTCTCATTACTCTTTCGGTACCAGATCCCTTAAAAAAATTTGTATTTTACAAAAAATTTATTATTTATAAATAAAAAAAACAAATATTTAAAAGTTAAAACAATGAAAATTGTCTTGTTGATTGCTGAAAGATTCTATTTAAATTAAAATGTAACCTTTTTGTAATGTAACGTTTTTTTTTATTTAGTTACCATGTTCAGCTAACAAAATCTAGCTACAAACTCTTTTTTTGTGTGCCAATTAACATATTACACCGAAATCCAAACATTAAATAGGTTAAATAACCTCAACAAAGTACAAATAAACTCTTTAAATTTTTCAGAAACATAATAATTTTATACAACTTAATACAACTTGTGAACTGCTAACTAAAATTTATTAAAAAATTCTATTGTAGTTATCACACTTTGTCAAATGTTTCAGGTGAGAGTCAGAACAATGATAATAGAAATTGAGAATATCTTTCAGAATATTCTTATAAATGTAATTTTTAATATTACTTTAAATTTCACATATTGAAAGTCTATAATGCTTTCTACTTTGAAAATATATTTTTATCAAACATCATGCATAAATTTTCTCTTTAATTGTTAAATTTGTCTCAAATCAAAAAGAGAAACATTAGATTGCATACCTTCATGTATCCCATACCACCTAGAATTTGGATGGTTTCATCCGCAACCTCCCATGCTGATTCCTGAAACAATTAGAACATTTTAAATTAAAAAAAAGACAAGGAAAAAAAAAAGGTTGGACAATGACTAGTTGCTTACTCAGGTATCAGGGAAAATTCAGGTATTTGGCCAAGTATAAAACAAGATCCAGATATTTGTCTGGACTTTGCGATATATCTGATGAAATAACATACCGAAGCATATATTTTACTGATGGCAGCCTCTAGTTGGAAATCTGTAAACCCATTATCCATTATGCCACAAACCATGTATGCCATACTCTACTCAATAAAAAAAAGAAAAGATAAAAATATACAAAAGTCTTAGATTTAAAACATAATTAAAAAAAAAAAATCAATTTCATTATATTTTAAAAAGTAATCACCTCTGTAACATACTGTCTCACTGCCATACGAGCTAGTTTTTCTTGAATAACACCGTAATCAATAATTTTTTGTCCAAATTGTGTTCTGTTTGCAGCAAATGTTACCTGGGTAGAAAATTAATTAATGAATAAAAGAGTGTATATAAATTGCTTGTGTATTTAACTATAATAATAAAAATAATTAACATCAACAACTAAAGTAGCTTTAAAAGCACTAATAAAAAAAATAATTATATTGAGTGATAAAAAATATTTCACAAAGAACTCCATTACATTTATGATACCTTTTATTGATTCAATTTAGTAAACTTGTAATACAAGGAGTCAACTCATAAATCCAATATCAGTGTCTGCTCCTTAGAAGATCTTATGGCAAATTTTGCTTTCTAGTGAACTTAATAACAACATGGAGTTCCTACTAAGTTAGACCTTTTTTCCAACTCTGACTCAGTTAATTGTAAAGGTAGTGGGACCAAAGTTGAAACTTTTTGTATTTTAACTTATTCAAAACTATTTTAGACTAAGAAGCTTAATTCAAGACATTCTTTCTTATAAAAATGTTTTGAATATAAACTGTGACTTGTTAACATTATTGATTATGTCTTAGCTCTTATTTTAGTGGCTCTTCCGTAAACTTTTTTGAGTTCTTTAGTATCTTCTACATAACAAGAACTAGAAGCATGAATTGCAAACTTTAAATGTGATCTAACATATGCATATTTAAAGACAAATCTTTTTCGAGAGTAGATTTCTCGATTTCTTTTAGTTCACCATAGTTTTTCATGAAATAAGAATATCTTATGTGCATCAAATTGCATTATTTTACATTTCTTAAAATTTAATCCCAGTCTTCATTAACTGACCAAGTTCTTTTCTGTTTTGCAGACCAAATAGTCCTCATAATATATGCTACATTTTACAGATCTAAACTCTAAAGGAATAAAATGCTCTTAAATAAATTTTCAAGCCTGTAGATTTCAACATAGTTATGTAGATTGCAACATATCTTATGAAGATTGCAACATATATTATGATGAGTATTTGGCCTAAATCAACAAGTAACATTAGCAAAAATTATAATAGATTATAAAAGTTTCAATCTAAAAATTTTTTCATTATTGAACAAGTTTTAAGTCAGCCCCCCCTTTACCCCCAAATTTAGTAGAGATTATTTAAAATAATAAACATAAAAATTCTTACAGCCTGAGAAATCAAACTTCTTTGTGTTCCAGAGAGAGCAGCAGCCATACCAAAGCGACCATTGTTTAAAATGTTCATAGCAACTTTGAAACCCCCTCCAACTTCTAAATTTGTGTGACAAAAAAAAAAAATTATTTCTTTGAAACTTGACATGTTAAAAAACAAATATGTATCCTTCTTGTGATTGGTTACCCAAACTTACCTCCTAAAACATTTGCAGTAGGGATTTTTACATCTTCAAAATAAACCTAAAATAAGTACAAAGAGTTGTAAAACTAATTGGTTGCTTGCTCAATAGTTTGTGTTCATTCTGGTGGTAATAATCACACCTATGACATAACCACTTCTGTAGAATGGCTGAGTACTAGCAGATTTTAACAGAAAAAAACAATTTTTTGTATCAAATTCATACCCAACAAGGCTTTAAGCAACCACTAATTAAGTTGGGAGTTGAAAGAAAACAAAGGGGTGAGCTCAAGCGTAAGATGCCAGTTAACAGAAACATAAGAAGCCAGTTAACAGAAGCATAAGAAGCCGGTTAGCAGAAGATATAAAAACTGTAAGATCAGGAAAACATAAAAAGTAATAGAAAGATACAGTCACCATTAAGAGTTTGAGAAGAAGGAACAAAGAGAAAAGTGATTGAGTGAACAAGTGTTAAACAGAAGCACATAAAATAATGTAAGTTTATGCCCATATAGTATATATCTCTAGTATATACATAGTATCTATAGTGTATCAAGTATCTCTAGATTTTACTTATTTTATCTTAAATTAATATTTGTAACTATATTTAAAGCTGGTTTTTATTTTGTTTTAAAAACTTTAAGCTATTTTCGTAACTTTATAAGGTGAGCCAAAGATTAATACCAATTATATTTTGTCAAGCAAAAAATGATTGGAATAAATTCAAGTGAAAAAACTTCTGCATTACAGAAATTGTGGAAATAAAGTTTGACTTCAGCCCTTAACTCAATTTGTATAAATTATTTACAGTAACAAAGTATTCATGCATTTCACTTTTACTTGAAACTTGTTTTTAATTTCCAAACAAAACTTTAAACAATTTTATAAAAGACAAGTCACAATTTAAATTTTTAAGATTTGAAATTTTTTGAAACAGTTAACAGTTGAAAAAAATTATAGAACGTGTATATACTAAAAAATAGTTGAGGACTGGTGTCCAGGTGTTCTCTAAGATAATAGATATGTTTAAACTAAAGTATATATCTATACTTTGAAACCACTAAAAGCTTAAACAACACTTCTAAACCTTAAAGGAAACCTCTACAAAAGTAAACATACCTCTGCTGTATTTGAACATTTAATACCCATCTTTTTTTCTGGAGGTCCACTTTAAAAAAGAGAAACAGAATTAAAAAAAAAGGAAAAAACAAACAACAAATATATATTTGAAAAAATTAACACCTTGTAACACCTCCAAATGATCTTTCAACAATAAATGCAGTTATCTTATTCTTAATTTCGCCAGATTTCTCATCTTTTACAGGTGTCTTAAAAAAAAAAAAATATTTTGTTATAAACACATTTCTTGTAAACAAGACTCTAAAACTGTAACTTGTCAGCAAATGCATACACTATATCAATAAGCAAATGCAAACAGTATCTATAATTTTTAAAAATCTTATACCTGGGCAAATACTGTAAATATTTCAGCTATTCCACCATTACTTATCCTAAGAAATATAAAATGAAAATTTATTCTTAAACATAACAAATAAAACATCTTATACTTATTCCTAATACACAAAAAATTATAAAAAACCAGAGAAACTTAAAAGTTTAAAATTTACAATAAATCAAAATCATTTTTTGGCAGAAGAAGCAATCACAGCCTTATTTGACAAGTTTTTTGTTTTGGAGTTAATGCATTATAAGTTGGTTATAACAATATCAAAAAAAAATGTATAGTCTTTTTAACTGTAGCTCCCTCAGTCTTAAAAGAGTAAATTAAAAAAAAAAAGGAAATTTACTTTAATTTTAATTAAAAAAATTGTATGAATTTAACTTGATGTAAAAAAGACTTATAAAATATAACACTAAAAAAAAAAAAGAAAAAGTAAAAAGCAAAGAATAAATAAATAAACAAAAGAAAATTGTGCTCATATACTATATACATTCGAGTTCAGACAAATTAATAGAATATTATTAACAAAAAACTCTCACCACAACTTTCCTCCATTCATAATCCAATGTTTTCCGTCTGGACTAAGTTTAGCACTTGTACGAATAGACTAAATTTAAAAAAATAATAATAATAATAAAAATTATTTTTTGCCAGAAATAAGTTTAAAGCTAGTACAAAAAGACTTTTAAAAATAATTTTTTTATAAAAAACATTTTAACAATTAAGTAAAAAAAAAAAAATTAAATAATGATAATAAAAATAAAAAAATAAATTTTATTCTTATGCCAGTACTTACAGCAGCATCCGATCCACTGGTAGGCTCTGTAAGACAAAATGCTGCCAGTTTCTCCCCTGATGCTAGCTAAATCATAAACAATAAAAAATTGTGATATAAACATTTTAATTGGCATAATTCAGGGATGGCTTTAGGTATTCTTAGAATTTGGATGTAGTTCTTTTAGTATTATTATTACTTACCTAAAAATTTATTGGTTTTAACAATGGATAAATCAAAAAATGTTTTACTTCACAAGAAAAAGTGAGAAAAATTGATGAAAAGCATGGAACATTTTATGGCGATTAGACAGAATTCGCATTAATTAAAAAAAATAATGAACCAATGTGTTTCATTTGCAATACAAAACTTAATCAAAGCAAGGCATACAATGTTAAATGTTACTTTTTTTTTTTTTTTTTTAATTATCTTTGCTTCCAACAAGGCTGGAAGCAACCACTAATTAGTGTTGGAAGTTACTGGAAGAGAAAAGACGAAGATTGTAGAGCAAGATAACGATTGACAGACGACTTAAAAGATTGCAAGTTACTGTAAATAAAAGTATACATAGTAGTTTAAAGCATATATATTCTGAGAAACATTATATTCTCTAAGTACCCATTGAATTCTCTGAAGAATACCCATTTATTCTCTGAAGAATATCAATGATATTTTCTGAAGAATACCCATCATCAGATATAGTTCTTTTAGTAGCAACTTGAGAAATAAAATTTTATTAAATTAGTCATTAACTTTTGTTATTGTTAGTACCTAAAAATGATAACAAAATAAAAAACATTTTCTTTACAAATTCTCCATTATAGATGTTTAGTTCTTGCAAGTTTCCATGTTATAACAAAACTTCTGTTGTCTAAGTTGCATAAATAATTCTATAAAAGAGTGCAGATGGTTTGCAAGTGTAAAATCATTTGCACAAGCATTTGTTACAAAACAATTGATGTCACAAGAATATTTTCTTCTGTTATAATATATGCATCTTGACTGAATGATGTAGAGCTTTTGATCATTAAATATATAAACATTTTGAACATTTTTATTTGAATTTTACTGTAATTTGAACATAATATTTGTTGAGAAAATTTGTTTAATTTTGTATTGGGATTTTTTTATTTTTGATATTTCATAATTAATTTTATTTATTAATATATATTTTTTTTCATTGAGCTTTTCAAGGCCAAAGGAGGCTACCCTATTTGAATTATTTTTTTCTATTTTTTAGTGTTACAACTCTCCTCAACCCTTTAACTTCAAAACACAAATGTAGAGTAACAAACCTGTTATATAATGAGAATCAAACTTAGAACTTTGCACTTGTAAAGCAAGTACTCTACCATCCATCCACTACCATCACTACCATCCACTGCACCACTACCACATATCCATAACCTGTACATCCTCATACAACTTTATAAATGGCTTTCTAGTGTGAGCTGAAAAAGTTTTTAACCTGTATAAGCTTTCTCATACTTTACAAATGGCTTTTAGTGTGAGCTGAAAGTAATCAAATTTTTATTTAAGTTAATTTTATAAAATACTCAATATAGTACAAAAATGTAAACAAGCATTGTGCTTAATTGTAAACACGTTTTATAGTTGGGTGTTTTTTTTTTTTTTTTTTTTTTTTTTTTTTTTTTTTTTTAATAAAAAACAAGATTTGTACTGTACAAAGTTTTATTAAAGTTGATTCTATAAAAAGAAACTAAATTTAAGTTATTTTGCAGTGCTGTATAAAATTACAAAATAATGCTACAGGTTGACAGCACATGTAAATTTAAAAATATTTTGTAAGACAAATTTCATTAAAAAAAATAAAATTTTGATAGCAAATTATTTATTGTCTCTTCACTTCACATAAGTACTTAATTTGGCTTTTCTGTCAAAAAAAACTGACCATCATTGACATAATAGTGGTTTTTGACTAGTTGTCATTCTGTAACTGCTAGTCAGAACCCACCTTTACAACCCTCCTGTAACCTACATATCCATAATTACTTTGGTTAGTAGACAATAGTAATAAGTTTTATTATAAAATTTTTTTTAAATGTGTAATTTTCTGCTTTGTTTAACAGTCAAGCTAAAAAAATATTATTCTTTAATTGTCTGTTTAGGTTGTCAATCCAACTAAAAAAACTTACATGATCACTAAAAAAGTTAAGAACCGGTAATAACAAAATAGTAAAAAAAATAAATAAAAAATAGAGCATTAAAGATAATGGTTACCCATCCAAATATAAAACATTAAAAAAATTCTAAAATAAAATATTTACAGAAGGCAAATACTTCTTTTTTTGTTCAGGAGTGCCAGATAGAAGAATACCTTTAAAACCAATAGACTAAAAAAAAAAAGACATTCAAAACAAACTCAAAGAGATATTAATAACTGTTACTTATTGTTAGTTTTTTTTTCTTCACTAATTTTCCTCATTATGATAGAGTAAGATTTTTTACCTGATGTGCACCAAGGGCAATTCCAACTCCTAGGTCATACTTCCCAACAATTTCTACCATTCGTGCATACTAAATTAAAAGCAAAACAAAAACTTATTTTTATTCATGATAAAAAACTTTTTTAAAAAGGAAAAAAAATACATAATGATAAAAAAAAATTTGTAATATATTTTATGCTTAGTTGAACCATGAATCGTCTACAAACATGCATTTTTAAACTTTAGAATATTTGCTTATTTATAATATTTTATGATATTTATAATGCTAATTTATAATATTTATAATATTTTTTTGCTTATTTATTTTTCAAATTTTGAAAATTAATTAAAATTAGTATACTAGTTTATAATTAAACTTGAAGAAAACAATTAAAATGTAAAAAACAATGTGTAAAATTTGACATTTAAAACTTACTTTTGTAGAATTGTTAATACTTAGTTTTATGTGTAAATATAATGAATAAACTAGCTTGATTTTTTATAACACTCAAATTATATTTTTAAAGAACTAGACTCATTCAAATTTTAGTTTATTTACACAACTTTAATAAAATAACAATAGTAATAAAAGAAACTAACAAAAATAAAAATCATACTTGTGTATTAGTCAACCCAACACCATTTAATTCTGAAGGTACCTATAAAAAACATTTATAACATATTTTAAATTTTATGTTTTATACTAACACTATCAAATTACTTATACAACTAAAAGAAATATATACTATCAACTTTACAACTAAAAGAAATACACCATCAACATTACAACTAAAAGAAATATAACATTAAATTAAAAACAATTATACTATTGTATTTACACAATCAGTTAAAAATTAAACTTAAATCCTCAAAGCTACAATTTAATTTACACCTTTTGCACCTTTAGGCTTACAACAATCACACCTTTCGGTTTACACTAATAGAATTGCACTTGTTAAAACATTACATTTTGACCTTTTTGATCAACAAAAAGGTGTACCTGAAGACCAAAAGCCCCAAGATCTTTTAAACCTTGTAAAGTAGCTGGTTCTATTGCTTCATTTGCATCATTTGCAAATGGGTTATTTACTTCCTAAAATAAAAATTTGCACTCTATTTAAAAAAAAAAAATCATGTAACTACAAAGTTGAAAATATACTTTTAAAATAATTTTTTGCATAAAAATAAACTATTCTTACTTACTGACATAAATTTTTCTACAGGTTCGATAAGTTCTCCGACAACATTTTTTTGCTCTGTATTCAAGACTACAAATAAATATTTTAAAAAGTTTTTTCTTAAAATTTTTAAACTGTTTTTACTTAAGATTTTTTTAAACTAAAAAAACTGTTTAAAAACTAAAAAAAACTGTTTAAAAATTTTTAAACAGTTTTATTAAAAGATTTCTTTTATTTTTTTGTCAGAATTTTTTACAGCTATCGCCAAGATTTTTTACAAAACATCCATTTTTGATGTCAGTACAAATATGTAATAAATTAAGGTTTGCTTAAAGAATGTAAAATTCCAAAGTAAAACAACTTGTGTTTAGAGACAAATATTCATTGTTTTTGAGTCTAGATTCTTGGAACATCAGAAATACTTTAGAACTTTAAAAAAAAATGTCAAGAACCCAAGACGCTATTATTTTTGAACCCACTTTAAAACACTTCCATTCCATTTCTGGTTAAAAATAACTTAAAATAACAGTTTTCAGAAAAAAAAAAAGCCATCTTGGATTCAAAAGAGGAAAATTTTTTTGCAAATAGTTCTGTCTTATCTTTAGAAATGGTTATATGATTAGATCCATGTATGAGAGACAAAATGTTAGACTTTTATTAATGAAATTGTTAAGAATTTTCCAAAAGTCTATAGAATTTCAGAGATAAATACAAGATTTACAAATTCCTTAGCATCAGACAGTATTTATAGGCATTGATCAAAGCTTGGGAAAAAGTATTGCCAGACGTTCTCCATTCTATAAGATCCTTAGTAAATACTAAAACAATGGAGACACCTCATGAAAGAATGTTCAAGCACCTTTGTAAAACAGCCTCTGAATGCACTTTACCTTCATGGTTAAGTCATCCTGGACCAATACTAATGAAAAGACATTTACGTAATAATAAGTACGAACCACTGGTAGACGAAGTGCAACTCATAGATGCTAATCCTCAATATGCTCACATAAAGTATCCAGATGGAAGAGAAACTACAGTTTCCCTAAGACACTCAGCTCTAACAAGTTCTGCTCCGATCATTGATCAAACAAATCATATTGAACCTTCACCAGAGAATGCTTTTAATAAACCTTCTTACCCCTATAAACCATTGACACCTGAAAAATATGGACTTACCAATACCAATCCTGAAAACTCAGCCTCCCCTTTATCAAAAAATCAGCCTCCCCTTTATCAATCTCCACTAGCTGAAAATCTTGTTAATGATGCTTGTCCAATCAACCCGTTGTTATTAATAACACCTGGAAAAGACACACGTAGATCCTCAAGAGTAATTCGTCGACCATTACAACTTATAGAAGAAGATACACAAAGAACCTTGTTTATATTATAGTATATTCTGTTTATATTATGGCTGCAGAGAATGTTGTGTTTTGATTATTTACTTTGTTTATTTTAAAGTAGAAAAACTTATAAGAATTAAAATATTGTTGCTCTTTATACAAGTGTTTCAAGTTGTTCTCATAAAAAAATTTAGTACAATTAGAATTAGCTACACAAGAAGGAGCAAAGCAAGGGGTAGAATAAGGCTTGATTTGAAACCTACAAGAGTGTGTGTTTGTACATATACACACATTATTGTAGTTATATCAACCTAAACTCTCTAAGAATTTATCCAACAAAGATTTTTTAGAAAAAATATAGAGTTAAACATTTTACTAAAATAAACATTCCTTAAAATAATGACTGATTACCTCATAGAGGTACTATAAGCATACCTTCAGGAAAAGGAAAAACCTGCTTTACATTTGCTGATCCAGTAAAAATTCCCATAACAAAAGATTTTCCTTCCTAAATTTTATTAAATACACAACTATTAAATTATAAAAAACTGATACAGATTTGTTCATTCTTTTTGAGACCGACAACTTTATTAAAACTGCTATTTGAAAGTAAAAAAAAGAATCAATATAATAATTTAAATGTCATTACAAAAAGTTATAGTGATTTATATTTACCTGAGGAGTACCAGAAGAAGCGTAACGCAAAAGGGAAAAAAGTTGCAGGTTTGATTGTTTTTTGCTTCAAAAAAAAAAAAATTATTTGTATACAGAATATATATATATATATATATATATATATATATATATATATATATATATATATATATATATATATATATATATATATATATATTTTATAACGTATAAATATATAATGTAATTATACTAACCAAAGAGTACATGTGAGATATCCCAATTGCTTGCCATATTTTGTTGCTTGAATCATTTTCCTCTATCTACTCAGCGGATCAGATTTTCAGAGACTTGTAAATTTTAGTTTGAACCTGTAATAGTACGATAGACACATATATATATATATATGACGTATTATTTGCAATTTATTATTTTTAATAACTATTATTCTAAATTAAGTTTTATATATTAAACAAACTTGAACGTTGCAAAAGTAACAGTTTTCGTTTTTTCACTTTAAAAAAGTTCGTAACAATTTAAGTAGTTTTAGCATGTTATACTATATATTCAGAATAGCACAAAATTTTCACTATGCAGTTGTCAAACTTATAACTTAGTAAAATTAAATAGAAGTGGACTTTGATCTTTCAAATAGACAATATAAATATTATTGTTTAATTTAAGTTAAATTAAATTAATTTATTTTTGATTTACGTTTCCTAACGTAGTGCGCTTATAAACACCGTTTCCGTTAAATAATCGGACTTTGATCTTTTACATTAAGTTACGTATTCTACTTTATTTTATTAATCACCCTCATCAGAGTTCGCAATTTTAGATGATTTATAAATAAAATAGAAAATATAATATTAAATATAAAAATATTTTAAATAATTTTTTTTTGGTCTTACAGATAAAAAAAGGTGTTGTGATTCAAATGTCGATCCATTTAGAAGTAGGGCGGGAGAGGGACACAGGCGATTGCCCTTTTTGACTTAATAAAAATAAATTTTTATTGTAAACAATAATTTAAATTATGATAGAATAAAGAGAAGAAAAAATATAGTGTAGGAATAATGCATAATTTCATAATGAAGAGATCTTAAGGTAGGACGTGACCAATCTGTTTTTTTGCCAATCTGACGTTTGCTCACTGCCATTCTTTTGCATCTAGAGGAACTTTGAATTTTTTTTTTTTATCTAAAGCAACTTTGCTTTTAAAGGTAGCGCTCTGTCTCTTTAGCATCCGTGGTTCAGACGTTAGACTGCACCACGGCTGCTAAAACATACAAACAAATTGGTTATGAGATTAATATTTTGAAAAAATTATAAAAAAGTTAAGTAAAGCTGACCAATTACTGAGTAACAGCAACTGCTTTTTTTAATTCACCTGACCTATTAACATTTTTTTTTTTGCTAAACAGTGTTTGTTAAGAATTTGAGTGCTTTTACTCGATGAAGTTTTTTTATTTATGCATACGGCAACAAAAAATTATTAGGACTTTTATTAAATCTAAGACAAACTCCATTCACTTTTTCAAAACTTATTTTATCTTCTTAAACTTAGGTTGATATATAATACAACTACGTGTCTTCAAAATAAAACGGTAACGTCCAACAACCTTGCAAAGCTTTTAAAGTCATAAAACTCTTAAGATCTACTTCATTTCACTTTCACCATGTTCTTTGCTTGATTGAATAGGCCGGGTGAATAAAAACAAGCAATTGCTTTTACTCAGTAATTGGTCAGCTTTACATGAATAAAAGCTTAACCAATTTTTCGTAAAATTTTATTCACGTATAGCTGAACAGTTCCTGAGTAAATTGCTTAACTTTACGCAAATAAAAGTTTGAGCAAAACTGCTAAAGTTTTTATTCACGTAATGCTGACCAATTACTGAGTAAAAGCAGTTCCTCATTTTTATTCACCCGGCCTAATATTTCAACCTAATTCCAGCACTTTTGTGATTGCGTCATATGACGTAGCATTGAAAGAGAAACTCAAGGACCAATGTATTTTAAAATTACCTGTAAATCTTTTTCCTGTAAATCTTCTTGTCGAACTACCTTTAACTTTAATATTTCACATCAAAATTTGTTCAATGATTAGATCTGTTCGTATAAGATCTAATATTCCTATAGCTTGACGACCATTTATAAAATGTTTAGGCAACCATGGGTAGAGTTAGATTATATAACACAGCCATGCTAAACCAGATTTTGGTTTGATGAAATGATATAAGGTTGTGTTATACTTTTTAGAAATGTCAGAACTATACCATTCAGGGAAAGTAAAAGTGTGAAAAACTATAAATATAATCTTTAAAAAATATTTAGGTTTATAAAAGAGGCTTAATAGGTCCCAGACTTCGACGCCCTTCTGATTGATCTCAAGACCCACCACAGGGGTGCAAGAATTTGTTGTACATATTGCCAGAAAATATGACATGTTGTCATTTGCCCCTGTCAGATGGGTTTTAAATACAGTTTGAGAGGCGCTAATGCCACTTTTTTTTCTTAAAATTAAAAGGAAAAAATAACACTACCTTCAGAAAATATTTATTTAACATTAATTAAATGTTTTCTATTAAAACCACTTATTTTTTCAAACACTTTGCGTCTTTTGATGGTAATCAGACAATTTGAAACGTTTTAAGGCTTCCTTTAAAAATGAGTATTAAACAGCTTTCCCTGATTGTTCACTAAAGAAACCCAATCCAAGGTCTTTATCTTTACAAAACAGAACTACGTGTTGAAATATGATATGTAACTTCACAGTAACTGTCATTAATTGATCTTCCAACAGGTTGAATAATGATTCTTAATTAACACGATGTCTTTTTTAAATATTGCCCTAAGATTTATACCAAAACAAGAGTGAACTAGGTTATCCAGAAGCATGAATGCTTCAGCCAACTGTTTTAACAGCACTGGAAACAAGTTATAGTACTTCACCCAATTTTTTGATATTTTTTGGCTACCATTACCATTATATGACCCATTTCTTGTTGATTTTAAAATATTTTAATCATTTTCTATTGTAGTGCTGGATCAGCTAATTTGTTTATTTTTTTTTAAGATATGGTTTGCCACTTTTATTAAATGAAGTTCTGGAGTAGAAAGATGATTAACAACTTATCAAGTTATCATCTCCAATTAAATGAATTTCATTAATACATCATCAATAGTTCATCAACTTCATCAATAGTTAAAACAATATTTTGCTCTAATTTTCTTTGACTCTCCTTATTTATACAATAAGGAGGGTCAAAAAAAGCTTAATCTTAGTGACCCAATGTTTCGTAACTTAGTGCAATCATTGAAATCAATCAAACCTCTGTTCTATTACATGTAAAAATATAACACGAATGAGTTGCCATGGAACTTGGAGACATACCACACATGACTTGACAGAGTTTGATATCTACCACACAAGTAAAGCTTATTTTATCCAGCCAGAGTTTTGATACAATAAGCTTTACTTGTGTTGTGAATTTTAACGTTATAACTTGTCTTTTGCCCATCTTGTACCAGTGCTTTATTAAATGATGCTTTTTCAGATCCTTTTTTGGAATTTGATAATTATGTTATTTGATAATTAAATATTTTCTCATTTTGTTTTTAATTGTTTCACTTGGATTTGATACAATGTTTAAACAAACCTAAATAATTTATAATAAATTACACTTGTTAAATTTTTAATTAGAAACAAAAGTGGCGCTATATAAAATTAAATTATCTTAAGTAATCACCCGACCTCCATCAATGAAAATTTTAATGGACTGCTTTTGAGGATAGGCTTTTTTTTATCTGTTATTGGCTATAGAAACTCATTGACATCTGTTGTTCTAATAAATGGGATAATTTTAAACAACCATTTTTCCTTTAAAGATTTAATATTAAAAAATTCAAAACTCTTAACAAAACAATCATCAAGGTAGTGGTCAATATGTTTGAGCTCTGCTGCTAACACAGATTGTACAATTTTTCTGTTTCGTGCTTTAAATTGTAATTCTTTTGTTAGCTTGAGAATTTTTGTGTTACTTAGTTCTAAAGTTGATTGTATGTCAATCATACCGTTTACAGACAGTTATTGTATATTACTAGTCTTATTACTAGACTACTGTCTTAAGTGTAACTTTTTTACCAACGGTAACAAGTATCACTTTACCTTTTTTATCTTTTGTTATAAGCTATTTGCAAGCTTTTGCATTACATTTGGAAGCTTTTGCATTACATTTAAGTACAGCTAAAAAGCATTTGTGGGTAACTCCTTTGGTAATAATTGAAAAAAGTTTGACAAGTTAGACTATTAAGTGGAGGCTGTGCATTATATTTACGTCCCTTTTTGAATTTTTTTTGTCTCACTTAAGTAGATCCAATGATACATATTTTGCATTTATATACAAAAACACTTCTAGTTGAACTCGTATAATCATTTTACTTTACTTTACATGTAAAGAAGAAGAAGGAAGAAGAAGGAAGAAGAAGAAGGAAGAAGAAGCCATTTAGGCTTTTTTCCTCTTCTTATACTACTTTTGCAAGATTCGCAAATAACATTTTTTTTGATTATTTTTAGAGTTGGATGAATTTTTAATGTTGATTTAAAATTCATTAAATTTTTAATCCATGGTAAATTAACATTGTTAGGTTTATTTATTTTTTTGGCACAGTATAAACATACTTTTCTCCTGTTTTCCTCATGAGTACAGGTTTGTACTCATGAGCAAAACAGGAGAATAAACTCATTCTATCTAGAATGAGTTTATTAAACAACTTCATAACTTGTGGAGTACCCCAAGGAAGATGACACTAATTTGTTTTATTCTCACAAAGATATTACTGTTCTTTTTAAAATACTTAACAAAAAATTAGATAAGATCAACGAGTGGTTTATAAGTAACCGACTATCATTAAATGTAGAGAAAACAAAGTTTATCCTATTCCATAAACCTAGTAAAGCCGAGAATATTCTTCTTAAACTACCCAATCTTTTAATCAATAATAAAATAATTAAAAGGGAATTAATGTCAAACTTTCTGAGAGTGCTCATAGATGAAAAATTGTCATGGAAATTTCATATTAAATATATTGACAATAAGATGTCAAAAAATATTGCCATGTTATGTCGAACAAAACCTTTTCTTAATAACGAGTCTTTAAAAAACTTATATTTTTCGTTTATACACAGCCATCTTTCACACTGTAACATTTCCTGGGGTAGCATTAATCACACTAAACTCAAAAAAATTTATAGTAAACAAAAACATGCTTGCAGGATAGTATTTGGTAGGGATGTACCGTAGCTTCGGCTTCGGCTTCGGCATGCCGAAGCTTTGGCAAGCTTCGGTTCGGCCGAAGCCAGGTTAATTTTTTATCGAATCTTTGGCT